AGAACATTCACTCGAACACATTTAATGTATCATTATATATATATATAACATGATGGCAATTGATAATAGATGAGAAAAGATGCAGAATGAAATATGTACTAATTGTATATTATAAAAATAGAAATTAAAAATTGATGAATATATATTTCTCAAGAATATGTATATCAAATCGAATAGAAAGTATAAAGTACTTATCTGTTTGATTGTAAATCATTTTCTGTACAAATTCAAACTTCTAGGTGATTATATGAGACAGTGAAATATTCTCCATTATAAGATAAGCTAGCAAATAATCATGAAACGATAATATTCATTCAACAGATTTACTATGGCAACGTAAGAATAATATTTCTAGTTTAGGCTCATTTGATAGAGACTTTTTTCAAATGCAAAAAGCTTGAAACACATCTTTTCTATGATCGGCCTTTAACGATGATTGTTCTGCCATCAAATGTAGAAGTAGAGCATCTCAAGTGAAGTCTCCAATGTATTGTGATGTACTTTATATAGAGAGCGATTTTCAGCCGGTCATTATACTTTCATTCGTTACAGATATCAAAAATAGAATTAGATTGTATCTATTTATGATAAACGGAAAGGCTTTCAGATATAAGTGTCAATGAGAATGTTTTTTCTCTAATTGCGTTTTATTTACGTAGTGTCCATTATACTCTCAAAAACTTTTTTGTATTCATGTTTGATAGAAAAAAATGTTAAATTTTTGAAGATCTTCAAGGCATTCTTTCTATCTCATTGAAAAATTCAAACGTATATTATTTTCTCTATTATATATAAACACTCTAGTTTTTAAAAACTTTCATTCAATAAAACAAAACAGAATGAAATATATTCAATCAATCGTATTAATTTCATTAGTTATACTAGTTTCATCTATTTCTATTGGTCAAATACCAAAGGCACGACTACTCCCAGGATCAAGCAATCAAATAATCTGGCTTTTCAATCAAGTCAATTTCAACGCATGTCTTTGCAACGCTCTTGATACATACTCATTATCACAAATTGCTGCCTTCAATATGTATTCCTTAAATTCAACTTGTCAACTTATTCTATCACTTCCCGTATTGTCGCCGCGGATTATTAGTGATATTGAATCTACTCTTATTCTTCTTCATCCACTTACTGATGTTCCTTGTTGTTCGGATTTATCATGGCTATTAGATCGCATTAAATTTGCATCACAACCATCAGGTAGTGTTACACAGCCAACAAGTATTTCAATCAATTCAAATAATACATTGATTTCAACAATGATCTATGAAGGATTATTTGTTAGCTTTTATCGAAATAATCTAAGTTTAGAAGGAATACATCCATTACCCAGTGGGTATAAATGTGTTACTGCATATTATCGACGTGGTTTTCTCTTTATGGGTAAGTCAGACGTATAGTTAAAGTGATGTACTTCTCATTAAAAAAACAAAAATGTATACAATTTTCGAGTAAAATCTCAAAATTTAGCTTTGAGAATAACAAAAAAAAGTATATTCCGTCACAAAATGACATAAACTATCAACAAATCTTTTGATTTTTCTTGTATTTCGAATATTCTTAAAACTAAAATTTTTATTTAATAGAATTTAATTATAGGATGTAATATACCTTCGGGACTTGTCATTTTTAAAGAAACAGATGTAACAACACCAATATCACAAATAAATATGCCACTAAATGGACGGGGAGTGTCTTTTGCACGTAATGATACATTGATGTTTGGTGTATCTCAATATGAAAATTCGTCTATCTATATTTATAATATTAATTGGACACCAAACATATCCACATCAATAGTTCAAACTTTTACGCCTACTTCTACTAGTTCTTGGGCAATTAATACCGTCAATGATAGCTTTGCCTTAATGACTAGTTGGGATTCGAGTACACCTGTTTATGCAATTAAATCATCTTCTGGCACAAACAAAACATGGTCTCGAGCTCCTATAAACGCTACAAAAACTGGATTAACAGAATTTCCAGGAGAAGCAGTCACTGATAGTTGTGGACGCATATGCATGGTTGCTTATGGATTCGGAATACGAATATTTGATCCATCAGGAACAATACTCTTAACTAACTGGACACTTTCAGCAGGATTATCTAATATCTTGTTGCTTGCCAATTATGAACTTTTTGTAACAGACTATGATGGAAATTCAATGTACCATTTTAATCCAAATCTTCAATGTACAAGATGAAAATTTACTTAATTATATATGTTTTTTTAAATTTGAATTCGATGTAAATTATGAATTTAACTTTTCAGCTTTTGTGTTCGAAACTAAACAGCGATTACAATAATAACAAATGAACTAATCTACTCTTCATTTTTTGTTCGAGAAAATCATATCATACGATGGGTGTGGGATCAAGTCGTTCTTAAAAAAATCTCAAAATACTAAGCATACTCTTCTGTTATTGACCGAAAATGCCATTTTTCATAACAGCGACCCACTGAATTGATATTTTGGAGTTAACAAAAGTTTAACTAGACCTATCATTCAAGATAATAAAATTAAAAAAAGAAGTTTTCTTCTCGACCTCTCTCTGGTCGATTTTCTCTTGATATTTTTCTCTGAAAGACGAAAAAAGAAAAACTATAATGAAAAAAAAACAAACATAGCTGATATGAATGAAAATGAAAAATACAAGTGATGATAATGCTGCATACGTACTATAAAATACTGATAGAATCCTCAGACAATAATTCTATTTTTTGCAGAGCAGATGAAAAAAATCTTTCTTAGATTTCTATTAATACAAGGCATTCCAAATTACTGTAGATTATGTACTTACTACATGAAATTTCATTTACAATTAATGTCTACTTTTACTCATATCCATAAAACTTTTCCGTTTTTAGAAAGTTAGTTTAAGGATGGTAAATATATCGTATGGCATATAGTCCATCACAGAGGTGTTTATTCTTTTTAGAAAATTTTATTTTATTCAATAATCAAATAAAAATTCAACTGGTATACTTTGCTGTTAAAATGTATCATAATCAATATTTCTTTTAATTTGTATTCAAAAGCTACGAACTAAAAATTATTTTTCGTTTTATTTTTATATAGTTTATTGTTGATTGTAAGATTCATTAATTAATTTATTTAAAGAATTCTCATAAACAAAAAGTAAAAAAAATAATAAGCGTGCGAGTTTAATACCTATATAAACCGTACCCGTATTTTTCATGACGACGCACATATAAACATGTGACTGGAATAGAGAATAGGAATAAAATATGGCCGATGCATGAGTCATAGCATTGCGAGAGTATTGCGTAAGATTACATGACGACAAATAAAGAGGTAATATTTTTTTATTGTATGCATTTTTCTTCAAACACAAAATGCTTCGACGAGCTGATTTTTGGAAAGAAGAAGATGAAGCACCACTTTTACGTTTAAATCGTTCATTTCTACCGTCAGAAAAAATTATCAATGAGATCAAAGACAACAAGGAAGATGATCCCATCGTTAATACTGATCACGAACGAATTATATATCTTGATGCTGAAAGGACATTTTTGGGTACCGCTCAACGAACAACATTAATGAATGTTCTATCATTTCTTCGTAATGAATTTGGTTCTTACCATCAAGCAATGTCCTATGTATCTGGTTTTCTTCTTCTTACTCATTCACCGTCTAAAGTAATTGAAACTATGCGTCAACTTCATCGAACTGTACTCATCGGCTATTGGACAGAAGAACCAGTTGCATTTGCCACGGATGCATATGTTTTCGATTATCTTCTTGCAGATTATGATCCCGAACTTCATAAACATTTATTGAACAATTATATTTTTCCAGAAACTTATGCACAAAAATGGTTTACTACATTATGCGTAAATGTTTTACCATTCGAAGCACTCTTTCGATTCTTTGATACATTTATCTCTCAATCCATAGCTGCATCATCGAATATTTTCTTATTTCAATTCGCATTAAGTCTCGTGAAACACGTCCGAGAAGAATTACTTCAAACAAAGAGTGTAGCTACTATCTATCAATATCTACGATTGGATTCATCCTTACCACAACTCAATGCAAAAATAGACAAATTGGCTATGTCAATTGTTGAAGGAGCAAAAGACTATGATTTAGGTTCATACGATTTTACTCAATTGCGTCAAAAGGCTTTCAACGAGAAATTACGTGTTCGACTAGAAGCAGCCAATCGGGCACATCAAGAAAACAAAGAAAATCAAAATTCATGTATTACATCGTCAGACGATGATGATGATGACGACGAGACCGAAGAACAGACTTTGTCAACAGCAATAAATGGACTTGTTTCTCATATGAAAAAATTACATATTTAATAAAATTATTTCGAATGATATTATAATATCGAATTTAACCAACTAGCTGCATTGCCATTCGTACAGTGACTGCAACTGTATCAAGCAAATAAACACCGAGATTTACCATTGAAATAAAAATGAATAATAGTTACACGTTTTAGTTTTGCGTAGTTAATAGCAGAAATCATTCTAAATATGTTTTTTTTATTCGACTACTTTCTGTGTAAAGTAATAGTAAAAGAATTTCAAGAAAAATCAGCGTTTTTCTAATCTCTTTCCATTCTTTCAAAAAAAAGTATTCGAACAACGACAATCGCTGTCACATCCTTGATTAAATAACATTCGACATATTGTACTTGAGAGATTCCAAAAAGAGAAAATGCAGCTAATGTTTTATGAAAAGAGGCTACGATTTATAGTTAAATAGACAATGGGCAATTCTATAATAGAAACATTACAGTTATAGGAATAATGTCTACAAACAAGCAGTACTGCTTTGAATATAAGTACAACATAGAGAGGGATATGATTAATTTTCTATAAATTAGAATTTATTGTTGTCTCGGCCACTGTGTAAACCAATTTTTCGGCTGCTATTTTATTTTCCATCATTCGTGTGAAGCCTTCTTCCACTCCATTGAGTCCATCTGGCATTTTAGTTACTCTATTCGGTCTTAAAAGATGATTAGGTAATAAAACATCCGAAAGTAATTTATAGAATTTTTCGGCAAATGCTTTATCTTCTGGTTTAGCTTTGTATTGTTTACGAAAGATGTTCATTTCACGTCCAAAGATCGTATACATTAAGACACTACGTTCTTTGATATGTGATGGTATTTCATTTGATACATTTGGCAGAATGGTGACTACTTGTGGATTATTACCGTTGAGTACAGCGCACACTCGTTTAATTGATTCTTTGTCTGAGATGCAATCGAAAGCATACGACAAATTATCATTAGTTATCTGTTTTATTTGTGAGACAACGTTTGGATCGTTATAGTCTAGACAATAATCAGCGCCAAGACTTTTTAAATAATCATGACGAGCACACGACGCTGTAGTAATAACAAAGCAACCAGCTAATTTAGCAAGTTGAATAGCATATTGTCCAACACTTGTGCTACCTCCCCAAATCAGGACAAATTTGTCGGCTTTTGCAAGCGGTAAAGGTAAGCCCATCTCATGAAATAGACCAAGAGCTGCTGTAATAGAAGCAAGTGGAATAGTTGCAGCTGCGTCCGAAGAAATTATAGTAGGATATCGAAAGACAAGTGATGCGTCTTGAACAACATATTCTGAGTAGGCACCACGAATACCAACTTCAGGATTGAGACCACCATGAACACAACCAGCTACACGTTCTCCTTTGATGTAGTCCCCTAAAAGATAAGATTAGATAATAGAGTATAAGAATACATATTTATCACTCATTCATTGTAAATTATATTTTCGGAAATTAAAAAAAGCTTGTATCATAAGACTATTGATTCTCGGAACGTTATAAGCTATCAAATTATTACTAGTTATAAATTACTTTCACTAGCTTTCTTCATAAGAAAAACAAAATATATACTAACCAATTGCTTCTTTGCCTATTTCGACAACTTCGCCAGCAAAATCACAACCAACGATTGATCCTGGTTTAGCAGCACCAAAATGAACATATTTCCAGTCTGTTGGATTCTGTGCAATATGAGTTACTTTGATTAAAAGATCTCTAGGTCCATAAGTAGGGAGCTAAACAAATATAAAAAAATCAGTGTATATTAATTTAGTAAAAAAAAACATTAAAAATTACAGTGACTTCTTCAAGAACGAGCTTTTTATTTTCACGTACGACGAGCGCTAGTGGCATGGCGTGTGTTTATCTAGAGAAACTGGTAAAAACTAAAAGTATAGAAGCGCATATTTATCTTTTTATGTTCTTCTCTTTTTTTGTTCTGTTTACGACGGAGCAACCTACTTCATCGTCGTTTTTTCTTCTTAACTGTGGAAGAGAAGAAAAAAAATAGAATAGAATAGATAAGTTTTTTTTTATTTTCTCAGCCGATGAGTTCGATCACAATTGTCATAGAAAAAGAACGAGCATAATAGTCAACACTCAGTGCATGCTACTATCGCTACGATCACTACAATTTAATTATTCAATAAATAATCAATATTAGAAATTACCAATGCGAGAAAAGCCATTTTCTGCTTCGTATACAACGATGACATAAATTCAATCATATAAAATTTCTTAGAAAAAATCACAGTTATTTCTAATCACAAATCATTTAATCTAATTTTTGAGTAGGATGTATGTTAAAACTCAAAAATGAGTTTTTCTCAATGAAACAACGCTGAAATGTGTATCTAAAGAACTATGAATCAAGTAGATTTAATCTTTCTGATGAACTGTAAATTGATAGAAAGATTTTTGACATTCAAAAAACAGTATTTTTCTGATAATATCTGATCGTATGAATACAAAGCTTTGGGTTGTTGCATTTCCAGATACGTTTCGTATGTATTGGCTTATTTTAATTCGAGAATGTGAATAAAGTATACTCTTACAGCACAATTTCATCCAAAGCTTCAATTCCAAGCAAATCAGTACATACAAAATGTATCATTTATCACTGGTACTTCATCTCAATATGGATATATAATTGTAAGAATTAAGTTAAATATTACCTGCAGAAGATATTTTTTTTCTTTTTGTATGGCACGATAGATTACAAAATATGAATTAGTATTAGATAGAAAGATTAAAAACTATATAGTAACACTGAGATCTTATAAATTTCAGAGGCATTCTTTCAATATATATAAGAAAAATTATATTTTTTGTGTTCTATTGTTCAAACATTATTATTATAAAAAAGAATATATAATCATTACTCCTTGCTATTTTTCTCTGATGACGATTCAGTTTTTCTTTTCGTTCTATCACGGTCATACATTGAAAGAACAAAATAAGCATGACGATGCAAAAAAATACTCATATGTATAACATACACAAAAAATAGAGTAACTCAGCATGACGAAGTAAATTATTCATATATATATAAATCGATGTCTGCATATGCTTATATCTATTCTTACAAACAATTTGCAAACAAATATGGGAAAGCTCGATGGAAAAGTTGCTCTCATTACTGGTGGATCTGACGGTATTGGTTTAGCTACGGCTCAACGATTTGTTGCTGAAGGTGCTTATGTATTTATTACTGGACGTCGAAAGGAAATGCTTGATGCAGCAGTAAAGAAAATCGGTGAAAAGAATGTTACCGGTATCCAAGCAGATGCATCAAAATTAGATCAAATTGATAAAATCTATGAAGTTATTAAGAAAGAAAAAAATACATTAGATATTATCTTTGCAAATGCTGCTGTTCTTAATCTGGCAACATTACCAGCAGTGACAGAACAACAATTTGATGATACATTTGATATTAATGTTAAAGGAGTGCTTTTTACTGTACAAAAAGCTTTACCAATTCTTAAAGATGGAAGTTCAATTATTATTAATAGTTCAATTCATAGTATTAAAGGTTTTGAAGCTCATAGTCTTTATGCTGCATCAAAAGCTGCTGTTCGTTCCTTTGCACGATGTTGGTCTGTTGATTTGAAAGATCGTAAAATTCGAGTGAATGTACTAAGTCCTGGCCCGATCAAGACAGCAATGCTCAATCATGCTATGGGAGCTAAGAATACTGAAGAATTAGATGCAAATTTTGAACGGTTCGTTTCAGCAGTTCCACTCGGTAGATATGGTCAACCCGATGAGATTGCTAAAGTGGCTTTGTTTCTTGCTTCGGATGATAGTTCATATATTACTGGTATTGAACTTTTTGTCGATGGTGGTCTAGCACAGATTTAAACCTGTTTTTTTTATGTTAAATTATATTAATAAAATATACTATTAACTCACGATTATATTTTCGTAGTCAATGTTATTGAAATAAGTATGAAATATAGTTTAATATCATTTGATACGAATAATTGAAATTTTTGACCTCGGTGAATACAATAATCAAGGCGCCATCTATTTCTTAAAGTATGCTTTTAGTTCCTAAAGATGAAAAATAGATATATAATTAAACACATCCAATAAAACATGTCATTGTAATTTCTGTTGAATCAATACTTATGTGTTTAGGTTCATTCTCATAATGTGAAAGTTTCCTTTGACAAAATAATTATTTGTTTAAAGTACTTTTTTATCTATTCGAATATCGACTTTGGACAAAGAAAATATATGACGAGAAAAGGAACATTGGATAAAATTATGAGTCTCTTGAGAGTGTGGGTGTATCATATATATGGTATCCACACCGTACAACGAGATATTTTATTGTTACCGCAATAATTATTTAGTAAAAAGATTGAATTGTTTATATAGTAATATGATTAAATAGCATTAGAATTCAAATATAAACAACTACGAATATTACAGACAACATTAAATAATGAAAGACGTTTTAGAGTACGAAAGCAAAATATAAAATTATTTTAACAATGTATTAGATCAATTACTGTTGTAACAAAGACAATTATTCTTTATTATACATACAAATATACAATCATTTTACGTGTCATTGAAAAGGATTATGTGCTCATCCTTCATACACTGTTATACTTTATATTCACAAAATCTCTTAACATAAAGAACGAATTCGTCGAAGTTTTTGCATGACTGACAGATTAAATTCATCTTTATATGTTTTTGATGGTAATACATAGACAAAGAATGTCATCATTGATGATAAAAATGGTACTAAATAAGCAAAAAGAAATAACCAGGAAGTATTTGGTGATTACATACATCCATTTGTAAATGAAGTGACTAATCGTACTAATGCTAATAATATGAATACAAATGATGCGACAAAACGAGATCTTTGTTGTTTTAATTGTAATCGTAGATGATCGATGAATGGTAATCTTCTTTGTAAATTTGAACGCGAACGAGCAATTGAAATAATAGTAAAGATTATACCCATTAAATTGATTAAAAAAGGCATTAAAAAATGAATGAAAGTAATAAATGAATTCCAAGTACTAATCGAAGAAGAATATTGTACTATACACCATATACGTTTTTCAACGATATCGATATCATCAATTAATTGACGATGAATTGGATCATGAAGATGTGTTAGAATTATAACAATTAGAATAATTAATATAACCCATTTGGATATTTGTCTACTTTTAGTTTTATTGAACCGAACACTTTTTCTAACATTTACAGCTTGTTTAATAGAAACACATGTATTAAGCCAATCATTGAAGACTATAAGAACTTTGATAATGACATCTAATAAGAGACAGTTAATATCAAGAAATGATCGATTAGTAAGAATTGTCATTTGTGATAATAATAATTTCCAAATTTGTTTCTGAATTATTACTAAGCATTTTACAAAGAAATATATTTCAAAATCTAATTTATTTATTCAGTTTTAATATGAATTAGAGAAATTAAACAAGATATAAAGATCAATTTTGTTTCTGTTACTATGGTAATATTTTATAATTGTAACAATAGAACTGAGGTTTATTCATTTTAAAATATCTTGAGATTAAGTTTATGATATTTAAAATGTCCTACTCTCATTACAGTAACTTGTGCTCTCGACAAACTTCATTGTTGATGTTACTCGAATATAGATAACATTAACAAATTATCATAATCTTGTTTGTGATTTCTTTCGTGAAATATAAAAGTGTAGGAAATAATCTATATTCAATGATAAAAAATGTTAAAATATTCTTATAGAATTGATCGATTTGAATGCTTATTCATCAAAGTTTCTATTACATCTTTTACTTTATTAACGAATCGATTGCGAATGCTATTGTCTTTAACGGTCTCGTTCAAACCACATCCCCGCATTGCGCGTAGACGAGTCATAGATACATAATGAGCAATTGTTATGTGCTTTTCTGATGGTTGTTCTTTGGAAAGTCCAATTACTTGTCGATGAATTGATAAATATTGAACAAAACGTGGTCGATACAAATACTTTTCACGTCCACGCTCATATAGATGACGTGCACGAAAAGTAAATCGTTCAATAGTTAAACGATTTGTGTCTTTCTCATCTGGAGTATATTTACTAGAGTTTTTACTACAAAAGAATTGGCTTTTCAGATTAATTGATCCTATAATTCGTCGACCAAAGTTTTGCTGTACATAATCAACAATAGTTTTATATGGAGGTAGTGGTACAATATATTCATCAAGATCGATAGCACTTAACCATTCTGATTGATCACCATAACGAATTAGACAATCATGTAATGCTTCTACCTGAAAATATCGTATTGAGACAACATCGGCAAGGCCAAGAGTAGAAAAACTCCATTGTACAACATCAACAAGACCAGGATATTTTTGATTATAGATATTAATAACAGTTGAGAGATAATTATCAGTATCAGTTGTATTATATATGACGAATTTGGTAAATCCAACTAATCGATGAAACTCTATCCATTGAACTAAATAGTTAGCTTTATTACGTAAAGGTGAAGTACATAATGTAAACGATTCTTGACTAGAATTTAATGAAGTGATAGAAACTACTGGAACTTTTACAAATGCTTTAAGTATGGGTATTTTTCTATCTTTTGTTGTTGTTGATGCAAGATAGACTCGTATTGTCTGATTCAGTTTCCATAGCTGATCATTAGCAAACTGACTAAGTGGACAATCCAAAAGAGATACCCGTTCGCGGTAATATGTCGAATCATAAATATATACAGGTGTTACTGACCCATCACTAAATATACACCAGAGGCTCTGTTGATTTGATGCGAGTGGATGAGATGAAATGTGTTTTGGTAAAACAGCTTTCATATCGGTTGGATAAACTGCGACGAAAGTTAGACTTATTCCATACCGTATACGACTTGCAGCAACACTTAATACAAGTAAATGACCATCAGCTGATAAACATGGTACTGTAGGTATATTATCTTTAGTATTTGCAGGCCATGCAGCAACAACAATAGACATATTATGAAGTAAATTTTGTTCATCAATAGTATGTCCAACTGGTTTCCAGCCATCTGCTAGACGAGATCTATCGTTACACTCGTTAGAATATGGTGTATATGAGTTATTACTATTTTGAGTAATCGTTACAAATACGTAGTTTGGTTTCATATGGCGAAATAACCAAATAGATAAATTTGAAATAAATACAAAAATTAACATACGACTGTTGAATAATGCACGCTTCATGGATATTTATAAAATCTAGAACTAAAAATCAAATGAAAAGTGAAGTCAGATAATTTACACTGAAAATATAGTAATTTATTATTTCATTGTACAATCTTGGCTTGTTCCCCAGAATCTGTATGAGACGAATATGATACTTATAGACTTCGAAGCATCTTTCCATACTCACATTGATTACATATCATCAAAACTATCAATTCGAAATTGAAATGAAGATGAATCGATAATATTGAAGGAATATATAAAACGACAGAACTTCAATGAGTTTTGTTGAAGAAAGTTTTGTTAAATTAAAAAAATATTTGTTTTTTATTCTTACAATATGTACATGTAATAGATAATTTTTCTTTCTCTTTTCTAATTCATTCTTATCAATAGATAAATACATTTTATCAGGGGGAAATAAAATCTTTCAAGTGATAAGAATACAATTATCTTTTTTGATATAGAAAATAAAGTTGAAAACTAAGTCTGAGAAATCGTGTAAAGAAGTTTTAGTTTTTTTTACAAATCTTTTCTCATTAATTTGTGATGATTTTCAAAATGAATTAATCAAACCTGGAATTTAATTGTGTATCGAATGCTTGTAAACTCGAAGAGACTATCTATCAAAAACTGCAAAGGACGGATCGTATCAGGACGAAAATCGGCTCATATTTAGATTTTCAGAAAAAAAAGCATGATTCGACGCTGAATTTAACGGTGAATCTTTTGATGATAAGCTGAACGATTTTTGGAAAGAACTTAATAATTTTCGATGCATATTACTAAGCTATCTATTTGTCCTATTCTCTACCTGATATGTTGACAAATAGTTACTGAAAACTAATCATTCTCTAACATCACACAGGTTCATCTGAAAGAGGAGAAAATTCTACACAAACTCATATAAAAGTCCTATATAACTATATACATTATCTGACATAACTACGTATTGTTGTGTAGTATAAATTTAATAAGCTTTTTGTTTTTATACATGTCATGTTGCTTATTAATATTTCATCAGGATCAATCAAATTAACAGCTGATGAAAGAGAACTCACTATCAATGTATTTTGTGTTGATTGTTGGCGTTGTTTATTTATTAGCAAGTCAACAATTAGGATTAATAAACAGACAGTATATAGGTAAGATTGTGGTTTACTACAAAATTTTATAATATTATATCTTATTCGACCCGTACGTTGTCGCGACATTGATTCTAAAAAATAAAACAAAATACATTATGGTGCTTTATCGTATTGTGAAGGATATTAATGTTTTTATAGTCAGTAGAACAAGGCATATTATTTCATAAAGAAAATATTTTAAACATTCAAATGAAGACAATCCATATTATGAATATTCTATGTAATAATGTAATTCACTAATAAAATATAAGGTGTAATGTATAAATTGTTATAGTATGATATGTGTTCTCTTCTTTTTATTTCTTCTCATCTTATGTATTGCCATTATCA